TGCAATTTACTTATTCTCTATAAGATCTTAAAAGTTGATGGGTTTGCCGAAATAGGCTGCCAGATGAGCTTCTCTGAGCGCCTCAGCGCACGTCTGAAAGAAAGAAAAGAAATATAAATCACGCCTGATAAATTCTATTTAAATTTCCTCTCAATTCAAGTACTGGGGGTGGTATTCATAATCCGTTCTTATTTCAAGACTGTTTTAAATAATGTCTTAAGACGCTGATTGGTTTGTGAGTTTTTAAAACTATTTAAAACGATTTTGAATATAAGATCTGACTACCGGATATAATATAAGAACGAATACCGGCCTTAAAGTCAATTTCAGCAAGAATTAACAGTCAAGTATAATAAGTAACATAACTTGTTAAAAAAGATTAAGAATTATTTTAAGTCATTTTTTTTGCACAAAATTAAATTTCCAAATATGTAACGTTTAGTTGTCAAGAGATTGTATAAGGATATCATGTACGCGAAGAGATTGTAATGCAAAATAAAATTAACATTAAATTCTTACCGGATGTGCATGGCATGTGCGGGCAACGTCTTCCGAACTGGCGCCATACTCCATCGCAAGAACCGCTTCGTTGATAATCTCTCCCACGGTCGGTCCGATCATGTGTACGCCCAGGATCTTGTCTGTGTTTTTATCTGCGAGTACTTTGACGAAGCCGTCCGTCTCGAGATTTGTTTTCGCTCGGGAATTCGCTATAAACGGGAACTTACCGACCTTATAATTAATAATGCCTTCCTTCTTTAGATCTTCTTCCGTCTTGCCAACCCAACCCACTTCCGGATGCGTGTATATGACGTTCGGTACGCAATTGTAGTCGATGTGAACCGCACCTACATATTATGAAATAATCCACATTTAATATCGAAAAAAAAAGGAAAGAAGTTCATATTTGTATATTGAGGGGAAATTAAAAAGTAAAGCGAATTTATTTATTCTTTTCATATATTAGCAAAATATATACACCATTACTTCTCAATACAATCATTTAACTAATCCAACTTTGCACATTTTGTGTCATAAGTCTTCTGATTTCGTTTGTGAAACAGAACTATAAAACCACGTATGTGTCGCTTCTTAAACTCTAAGACAATTGAAATTTGTCACTGGTTACGCAGGACTTCCTTCAATGATCCAAATTAGAAGTAGGGAACAATAAACTGAATGTGAAAAGTTTAATTTTTATTGATCCAGATTTTAGAAAACGATGTGGTTTCATGACAAAAATCTTCTTCGCAGACTGAATGACTTACGGATTGTTACAGAAAAACTATTATAAAACTGAACAATTATATTGAGAAATAATGTTGTACAGAGCTTGCTGACGTGTATTGTACGTGAAGAATAAATTCATTTTACTTTTTAATTTTTCTTTATCTTTAGCTTAAAATAAGATGAGCTAATACATAATATTTAATACATAATATTTAAAATGTAAATTAAAGTGAAAATTACCTCCGGTAATACCTTCCACTGTAATTATACCTTCGTCCTCAGCCTTGTGAGCCAACATTGGTCCATGAATGCAATCACCAATAGCATAAATACTGCGAATTTAATTATGGAAACAGTTATTTGGAATCAATAAGATATTTCGTTGTAGGTATATGTATATCGGAGGAAATTAAAATTTCAAAATGACATTTAATTTCTAATTTAAATTTTGTAATTTACCTAGGCACTACCGTCTGGAATCGGTTATTCACGGGTATCCTTCCTTTCTCGTCTCTCTCGATGCCCATATCTTCCAAACCTAAGTTTTGTGTGTACGGCCTTCTGCCGATACACACTAGCAACACATCGCACGCTAAGTTCTCCTTTTTGCTGGAGTCTTTCGCATTCTCGACGGAAACTAAGATCTCATTACCACGCCTGTTAGCAGCCGTGACTTTCGTTCCCAGTTTAAATTTCAATCCTTGTTTCGCAAGTATCTTCTGCAAGCTTTTACTAACTTCCCCGTCGATACCCATACCACCGATCGTCGGCATGAATTCAACGGCCGTTACATCGGAACCCAGTCTGTAGAAATAATAATTTTAGCGAGAATGAATAATCATCTTTTTCTATATTACAGGATATTTTTATTGTAAATTTAGCGCTTTACCTCTGCCAAACTGAGCCTAATTCCAATCCTATGACACCAGCTCCTATAACAATAAGCCTCTTGGGAACTTCATTGAGTGAGAGTGCACCCGTTGAGGATACAATCTGTTTCTCGTCGATTTCAATGCCGGCGAAAGGTGTAACTTCGCTTCCGGTCGCTATCAGAATATTCTTTGCATTGATAGTCGATTCCACTGATCCATCAGGTTTTAGGACAGTGACCTGATTCTTGCCTGTGATTTTTCCATGACCTTTAACCCACTCGATTTTGTTCTTTTTAAACAAACCCACTATACCACTGGTTAAAGATTTGACTACGTTTGTTTTCTGTTCCATAAGTTTGTTGAGGTCCAATTGAACATTTGACACTGCAAAGAATAATCCATTATCATTTGATTTTTCATAAACGATTTGTTTAATGTTTATTTCTTCTAATATAGATTAATTTTAATCTCGGTTTAATTTACTTTTTATGTTCTTCTAATTCTAAAAATTAGAAAAAGAATAAATTAAGATATAACTAAAAAGTAAATCATGATTAGATTGAGATGAAACCAAGGTTAAACTTAATTTATATTGGTAAAAATGAGTAACTCAAATGACTAACTCAGAGTTTACTCACTAATAATTCCACGGTTTGCTAAATCCCCAGTATATGCTAGGTTGTAATAATGCGAATTGTTTAAAAGTGACTTTGATGGAATGCATCCAACATTAAGACATGTGCCTCCCAGAGTTGGGCCTTTCTCCACACACACAGTCTTCATGCCCAATTGTGCAGCTTTAATCGCTGCTACATATCCACCAGGACCAGCCCCAATTACTACTATATCTGTATCCAATGTACTGGCATACCTGCGCTGTTGGATGGCCGTCATACCTGGTAGAACACGCTTTATGCATGTTGGCTGATAACAAATGGAAATAATACTATAGCAATTGATGACCAATGAGCATACTTGGTAAAAAAATTAATAATTAAAAAATTAAAAAATATATATATGTAAAAAAAATATATTTAACATATATAAAGGATTACTGAAAGAGTGGGCTAATTTTTATAAAAATAAAGTGAATAAATTCTAATGTGTTAAAGTGATGGAAAAATACAAATATTTTATTTT